CAGGGGAATCGACCGGGTAAACAAGGATAAACTATTCAACACTGGTGGTACACGAACAAGGGGACACAGGTTGAAACTGAGTACCCACATGAGCCACAGGGACGTTAGAAAGAACTTTTTCAGTGTCAGAGTAGTTAACAGATGGAATGCATTAGGCAGTGATGTGGTGGAGGCTGACTCCATACACAGTTTCAAATGTAGATATGATAGAGCCCAGTAGGCTCAGGAACCTGTACACCAGTTGATTGACAGTTGAGAGGCGGGACCAAAGAGCTAAAGCTCAACCTCCGCAAGCAATAACAGGTGTACAACACAACACACACCACACACACACCCAACACACACACACACACACACCCACACACCACACCCACACACACACACACACACAACACACCACACACACCCACACACACACAACACACACCACACACAAACCCATACACACACACACCACACACACCACACACACACACACACACACACACCCACATACACACACACACACACACCCACACACACACACACACACCCCACACACACACAATACACACACACACACACACACACACACACACACACACACACACACACACATACACACACACACACACACACACACACACACACACACACACACACACACACACACACACACACACACACACACACACACATACACACACACACACACACACACACATACACACACACACATACACACACACACACACACACACACACACACACACACACACACACCCACACACACACACACACACACACACCCACACACACACACACACACACACACACACACACACACACACACATACACACACAAATGTTGTTTTTAATGTCTGTCAAAACATATAAATTGTTATATATATATATTAAAAGATAGTTAATCTTCCGACGAGGATCAAAATGGATTCGCTTGAGATAATACCTGATTAGATCTTGCTAGTGTTCAAATAATTAATGTACTGCCCAGTTTTTTTAGAGTGCTTTTCACTTCATTAGAAGGGTTCGAACCCTTTCAAGAGCGATTCTCATTTGTCTCGTGAATGCGTCACTATTGTGATGTTCTAATTTCGATAAACCACCGTAATATTAACGTTGGGGGAAGCATTGGCAGTTTGATACCTACGAGAGGCTTTGAAAGAAAGAGTAGGCCTACAAAACGTCAAATAATATTTCATTATATGAAAATCGTGATAATATTTCATATTATATTTGTCTTTCTTGGAATAGAGGTTCAGACACTCGCCCCTTCGCCTGGCAAACACTAAGAACCGGGGTTCGAATCCTGGGATAGACTTGACGAATGGGTTTCGTTAAATTACTATACACCTTCATAAATAACAGAAGGCCTATTGGCCTATACACGGCATCTTCTATTTATATCCACCCAAACTCATTCATATATGTCTAACCATCACTTGAAACAATCAATCGATCCAGCGCCAATTACGTCACCCAGTCACCCTACATAAATCTAAAACCCTATTTCCAAACCAGTATTTACCCAGGTCTTTCCTCAATCTAAACTTATCCAATTTATATCCATTGTTTCGTGTTCTATTTTTGTGTTCGTATATTTAACAGTTTATTAATTAATATTATCACTAGTTCGTTTGCCTGAACGAATAGTAGGGAGAAAGATCGATGCCTTAAGCCAAGAGGCAGAGAATGTAATCCTCTGGATCCTTAAACAAAAATGATGGAGTGGAGCCAGTTGAATATCTACCATCTACCATCTACCACAATTATCATCAAACGAGTGTACGAGAGAAGAATTAACACCCTCTACTGTTCTATAAATTGATTGAAGCTCGATGGAGTTGAGGGAAGTTCTTCAACTCCCCAAGCCCGGCCCGGAATCAGAAGCCAGATTCACGAAGCAGTTACGCAAGCACTTACGAACCTGTATATCTTTTTTTCAATCTTTGGCGGCTTTGTCTACAATTATTAAACAGTTAATGAGCTCCGAAGCACCAGGAGGCTGTTTATAACAATAACAACAGTTGATTGGGAAGTTTTCATGCTTGTAAACTGATTACTAAATGCAACCAAAAGCCATCAAAAATTGAAGGAAAGATGTACACGTTCGTAAATACTTGCGTAACTGCTTCGTGAAACCGGGCGTCTGGTTTCCCGTGTGAGAGTTTGGTCCGACAGGCTTACCTGGGACGGCCCGCACATGTCCACTACCAACCCGTTCTCGCACTTTCGTATAGTCAATATTGACTTATTAAATACGTGCATATGTGACATAATTAACATACTAGTTTACCTTGAAAAGCTTCATAGAAAACACCGACCTTACCTAACCTTCTTAGTATGTTAAGATAAGCATCTTATTGCTTCGTAATTACAATTATTACTTAACCTATTATAGGTATAGGTTAAGTAAGAATTGTAATTACGAAGCAATAAGATGCTTATCTTAACATACTAAGAAGGTTAGGTAAGGTCGGTGTTTTCTATGAAGCTAAGAAAGGTAAACTAGTATGTTTAGTATGTCACATATGCACGTATTTAATAAGTCAATATTGATTGTAAGAAAGTGCGAGAACGGGTTGCCACTACAGCCCGGTTGGGAACAAATATTTACACCACTATTTCACCCAATAGTGAGCCGGTCGGCCGAGCGGACAGCACGCTGGACTTGTGATCCTGTGGTCCCGGGTTCGATCCCGGGCGCCGGCGAGAAACAATGGGCAGAGTTTCTTTCACCCTATGCCCCTGTTACCTAGCAGTAAAAGAGGTACCTGGGTGTTAGTCAGCTGTCACGGGCTGCTTCCTGGGGGTGGAGGCCTGGTCGAGGACCGGGCCGCGGGGACACTAAAGCCCCGAAATCATCTCAAGATAACCTCAAGATAACCCATTCCCTAACCAATTTTATTTTTTAAATTGGACAAAAAGCTTGTAGAAGCCAAAGGGAAATTACTATGCTGGAAATAATTAATCTTAAATTCTTGCTTAAAGAACAATATGTCAACATTAAACACAATGATCAGTTTGGGTGATCACAGTGATAACAGGGTGATAACAGTGATAACAGGGTGATCACAGTGATAACAGGGTGATAACAGTGATAACAGGGTGATCACAGTGATAACAGGGTGATCACAGTGATAACAGGGTGATAACAGTGATAATTGGGTGATAAACAGATAATTGGGTGATATCAGTGAACTCGTAATAATAATTCTTAATGATAATGATAACCCAAAAGCGTGTAAGATAACGTCTCCAGGAGGCCTTCTGAGTGTCAGTAATGTCTCCAGGAGGCCTTCTGAGTGTCAGTAATGTCTCCAGGATGCCTTCTGAGTGTCAGTAATGTCTCCAGGAGGCCTTCTGAGTGTCAGTAATGTCTCCAGGAGGCCTTCTGAGTGTCAGTAATGTCTCCAGGAGGCCTTCTGAGTGTCAGTAATGTCTCCAGGAGGCCTTCTGAGTGTCAGTAATGTCTTCAGGAGGCTTCTGAGTGTCAGTAACGTCTTCAGGAGGCCTTCTGAGTGTCAGTAATGTCTTCAGGAGGCTTCTGAGTGTCAGTAACGTCTTCAGGAGGCCTTCTGAGTGTCAGTAATGTCTTCAGGAGGCTTCTGAGTGTCAGTAACGTCTTCAGGATCCCTTCTGAGTGTCAGTAACGTCTTCAGAGGCCTTCTGAGTGTCAGTAACGTCTTCAGAGGCCTTCTGAGTGTCAGTAATGTCTTCAGGAGGCCTTCTGAGTGTCAGTAATGTCTTCAGGAGGCTTCTGAGTGTCAGTAACGTCTTCAGGAGGCCTTCTGAGTGTCGGTAATGTCTTCAGGAGGCTTCTGAGTGTCAGTAACGTCTTCAGGATCCCTTCTGAGTGTCAGTAACGTCTTCAGAGGCCTTCTGAGTGTCAGTAATGTCTTCAGGAGGCCTTCTGAGTGTCAGTAATGTCTTCAGGATCCCTTCTGAGTGTCAGTAACGTCTTCAAAGGCCTTCTGAGTGTCAGTAACGTCTTCAGAGGCCTTCTGAGTGTCAGTAACGTCTTCAGGAGGCTTCTGAGTGTCAGTAACGTCTTCAGGAGGCCTTCTGAGTGTCAGTAACATCTTCAGGAGGCTTCTGAGTGTCAGTAACGTCTTCAGAGGCCTTCTGAGTGTCAGTAGCGTCTTCATGAGGCCATCTGAGTGTCAGTAGCGTCTTCAGGAGGCCTTCTGAGTGTCAGTAATGTCTTCAGGAGGCCTTCTGAGTGTCAGTAACATATTCAGGAGGCTTCTGAGTGTCAGTAACGTCTTTAGGAGGCCTTCTGAGTGTCAGTAACGTCTTCAGGAGGCTTCTGAGTGTCAGTAACGTCTTCAGGAGGCCTTCTGAGTGTCAGTAACGTCTTCAAGAGGCCTTCTGAGTGTCAGTAACGTCTTCAGGAGGCTTCTGAGTGTCAGTAACGTCTTCAGGAGGCTTCTGAGTGTCAGTAGCGTCTTCAGCAGGCCTTCTGAGTGTCAGTAACGTCTTCAGGAGGCCTTCTGAGTGTCAGTAACGTCTTCAGGAGGCTTCTGAGTGTCAGTAATGTCTTCAGGAGGCCTTCTGAGTGTCAGTAACGTCTTCAGGAGGCTTCTGAGTGTCAGTAACGTCTTCAGGAGGCCTTCTGAGTGTCAGTAACGTCTTCAGAGGCCTTCTGAGTGTCAGTAGCGTCTTCAGAGGCCTTCTGAGTGTCAGTAGCGTCTTCAGGAGGCCTTCTGAGTGTCAGTAGCGTCTTCAGAGGCCTTCTGAGTGTCAGTAGCGTCTTCAGGAGGCCTTCTGAGTGTCAGTAATGTCTTCAGGAGGCCTTCTGAGTGTCAGTAACGTCTTCAGGAGGCCTTCTGAGTGTCAGTAACGTCTTCAGGAGGCTTCTGAGTGTCAGTAACGTCTTCAGAGGCCTTCTGAGTGTCAGTAACGTCTTCAGGAGGCCTTCTGAGTGTCAGTAACGTCTTCAGGAGGCCTTCTGAGTGTCAGTAACGTCTTCAGAGGCCTTCTGAGTGTCAGTAACGTCTTCAGGAGGCCTTCTGAGTGTCAGTAACGTCTTCAGGAGGCTTCTGAGTGTCAGTAACGTCTCCAGGAGGCTTCTGAGTGTCAGTAACGTCTTCAGGAGGCTTTTGAGTGTCAGTAACGTCTCCAGGAGGCTTCTGAGTGTCTGTAACGTCTTCAGGAGGCTTCTGAGTGTCAGTAACGTCTCCAGGAGGCTTCTGAGTGTCAGTAGCATCTTCAGGAGGCTTCTGAGTGTCAGTAACGTCTTCAGGAGGCTTCTGAGTGTCAGTAACGTCTTCAGGAGGCTTCTGAGTGTCAGTAACGTCTCCAGGAGGCTTCTGAGTGTCAGTAGCGTCTTCAGGAGACCTTCTGAGTGTCAGTAACGTCTTCAGGAGACCTTCTGAGTGTCAGTAACGTCTTCAGGAGACCTTCTGAGTGTCAGTAACGTCTTCAGGAGGCTTCTGAGTGTCAGTAATGTCTTCAGAGGCCTTCTGAGTGTCAGTAATGTCTTCAGAGGCCTTCTGAGTGTCAGTAACGTCTTCAGAGGCCTTCTGAGTGTCAGTAACGTCTTCAGGAGGCCTTCTGAGTGTCAGTAACGTCTTCAGGAGGCCTTCTGAGTGTCAGTAACGTCTTCAGGAGGCCTTATGAGTGTCAGAAACGTCTCCAGGAGACCTTCTGAGTGTCAGTAACGTCTTCAGGAGGCCTTCTGAGTGTCAGTAGCGTCTTCAGGAGGCCTTCTGAGTGTCAGTAGCGTCTTCAGGAGGCTTCTGAGTGTCAGTAGCGTCTTCAGGAGGCTTCTGAGTGTCAGTAACGTCTTCAGAAGGCCTTCTGAGTGTCAGTAACGTCTTCAGAGGCCTTCTGAGTGTCAGTAACGTCTTCAGGAGGTCTTCTGAGTGTCAGTAACGTCTTCAGGAGGCCTTCTGAGTGTCAATAACGTCTTCAGGAGGCCTTCTGAGTGTCAGTAACGTCTCCAGGAGGCCTTCTGAGTGTCAGTAACGTCTCCAGGAGGCCTTCTGAGTGTCAGTAACGTCTTCAGGAGGCCTTCTGAGTGTCAGTAACGTCTTCAGGAGACCTTCTGAGTGTCAGTAACGTCTTCAGGAGACCTTCTGAGTGTCAGTAACGTCTTCAAGAGACCTTCTGAGTGTCAGTAACGTCTTCAGGAGGCTTCTGAGTGTCAGTAATGTCTTCAGAGGCCTTCTGAGTGTCAGTAATGTCTTCAGAGGCCTTCTGAGTGTCAGTAACGTCTTCAGAGGCCTTCTGAGTGTCAGTAACGTCTTCAGGAGGCCTTCTGAGTGTCAGTAACGTCTTCAGGAGGCCTTCTGAGTGTCAGTAACGTCTCCAGGAGACCTTCTGAGTGTCAGTAACGTCTTCAGGAGGCCTTCTGAGTGTCAGTAGCGTCTTCAGGAGGCCTTCTGAGTGTCAGTAGCGTCTTCAGGAGGCTTCTGAGTGTCAGTAGCGTCTTCAGGAGGCTTCTGAGTGTCAGTAACGTCTTCAGGAGGCCTTCTGAGTGTCAGTAACGTCTTCAGGAGACCTTCTGAGTGTCAGTAACGTCTTCAGGAGGCTTCTGATTGTCAGTAACGTCTTCAGGAGGCCTTCTGAGTGTCAGTAACGTCTTCAGAAGGCCTTCTGAGTGTCAGTAACGTCTCCAGGAGGCCTTCTGAGTGTCAGTAACGTCTTCAGAAGGCCTTCTGAGTGTCAGTAACGTCTTCAGGAGGCTTCCGAGTGTCAGTAGCGTCTCCAGGAGGCTTCTGAGTGTCAGTTTTGGTTACTTAAGATATCTGATTTCCTGAGCAACTACAGCCATGAAAATAAAGGTCAAAATCAAGGGCTAATTACCGCTCTCACCAGTTGCTCGACTCCATAGTTGAAGGAGTCACGAACCTCTCAATCACTACCCAGGGACAGACAGACAGTGACAGGGACAGACAGTGACAGAGTGACAGACAGTGACAGACAGTGACAGGGACAGACAGTGACAGACAGGGAGAGGCAGGGACAGGCAGGGACAGGCAGGGACACACAGGGACAGACAGGGACAGACAGGAAGAGGCAGGGACAGTGACAGACAGGGAGAGGCAGGGACAGGCAGGGAGAGGCAGGGACAGGCAGGGACAGACAGGAACAGACAGGGAGAGGCAGGGACAGACAGTGACAGACAGGGACAGACAGTGACAGTCAGGGACAGACAGTGACAGACAGTGACAGACAGTGACAGTGACAGACCCACTTGATGGAGTACATCAGTTCCTGCAGGGCGGCACAACCTCACTGCAAACTGTAACGACCACCAAATTACTCAATTATGCTTCCTAATCACTGTAGCAATCACAGAAGGGGGCGGCGCACCCTCCCCCTCCCCCCCACCTCCTCCCCATGGAACTCTAATGGCATTCCGCGGGTTACACATGTGTCAACCTGTATACACATGTGTCAAAATGTGTGAGTCAACATGTATCATGTGCACATGTGGTAGGTGAATCACTCGATCATTCGCCTGCTCGTTCCTCACTCAAAAATCTTACTGAAGCGACCATACGAGTCATAAATACTCACACTCCGCCCAAGTAAAACAGAAACAAGCAACAACTTAGTGGGGCCAGCCAGAGGCTTAGGGCCCGCGCAGGAATATCCCTGCAAAACACACCTGTTACAGGTGTTTTTGTGGGGGGGGGGGGGTAGGGGGGTGATCGGTTTCAAACAGCAGTTACACAGGTACTTAAGAACCGGGGGTTTCATCTTTTTCCTCAAGCTTTGGCGGCTTTATTTACATTGGTTAGACCAATTTTGTGAGCTCCGAAGCCCCAGGAGGCTAATTGGGCAGTTTAGTCGACGCTCGTCAGCGTTCGTGTACACAAACAAAGGCGCCAAAGGCAGTGATAAATACACTCTCGTTCGTATGAAGACGCGTAGATGTTTCTTGGCCCTGCGGTATACGTCTAAAGTAGACGTCTAAGGTAGACCTACGATATACGTCTACGGTAGACGTCTAAAGTAGACGTCTGCGGTAGACGTCTACGATATACGTCTACGATATACGTCTACGGTAGACGTCTACGATATACGTCTACGATATACGTCTACGGCAGACGTCTATACGTCACAGATGACGTCCTTCCACTAGAGTGTTGAGCGTGCGTCGCGATTCACGTGATGGCGACGTGGAAACATTCAAGCCACTTCTTAACCCTTCCCACACTCACTAGAGTGCTCTCACTCCGGCCACAATTACCACGCGAGTGGTTCAAGGATTCGGTTTTAATTAAAGCGAGAGATTAGTGTCAAGTCTACCACCTGTGGGGGGGGGGGGGGGCGTGTGCGGCGCCTGATCTGACCAGTTAAACTGTTGCTTTGCTCAGTCACGCACAGTGCATCAGGGCTTAGCCAATCCCGGTGAAGCCACCTCGAGTCGGCTTCACTCCGATTGGCGGTCAGCTGCGACCTCTTTTTTGGGTCGTTGGAGGAGCGGATTCTTTCCTCGTATGAGACAAGATGGCCGTCGTATCTGTCCCCCCCCCCCTCACGTAATTAAGCCTCTGAGGGGAACTCGACGTCCTAATTAACCAGATAATTACCCTACAACAGATACTAAACGATCACTCAACTCCCCCGAGACAGAGACATCCAAGAACAGGTGGGATAATCCAGGAATTTGATCAGTTTAGGTCCATTGACCCTTCTCTTGCAACGTTGCAAAGGTGGAGTTCTCACACTCTGACACGCAGGAGTCAGGTGTGTGAAAACACCCGCCATCACACTGCGTTTGTCTGTTTAAGATTTCGTTATATATTTTTTGTCTGTGGCGGACCGCGTTGAAGAACAGACTTTCGTCACTGTTTGGACGGGAAACAGAGGTCACCGTGGGACCCATGAGTATCACCTTGCTGTCATTGACACACCTGTCACTGACACACCTGTCAATGACACACCTGTGTCATTGACACACCTGTCACTGACACACCTGTCAATGACACACCTGTGTCATTGACACACCTGTCACTGACACACCTGTCAATGACATACCTGTGTCATTGACACAGATGTGTCAATGACACATCTGTGTCATTGTCACAAAGTGAGTTCAACCGTTTTTTTTTTCTTTAACAGTCAAGTTGAAAAGCCTGAGTCTGACATATTCCCTCAACCTGGCTCCACTTAGCCTGACTGTCAGCCTTAGTCAGACTTAGCTTGGCTTGCAACATGGCCACATTGAGCATGATAACCACTCTGGTCAGCTTGATTGAGACAGCTGCCCCTAAGCCAGCCTGTTCCTGACAGCTGACTTAAGCCAGCCTGATTCTTACAGCTGCCCTAAGCCAGCCTGATCCTGACAGCTGCCCTAAGCCAGCCTGATCCTGACAGCTGTCCAAGCCAGCCTGATCCTGACATCTGCCTTAAGCCAGCCTGATCCTGACATTTGCCTTTAACCAGACTGATCCTGACAGCTGCCCTAAGCCAGCCTGATCCTGACATCTCCCCTAAGCCAGCCTGATCCTGACAGCTGTCCAAGCCAGCCTGATCCTGACAGCTGACTTATACCAGCTTGATCCTGACAGCTGTCTCTAAGCCAGTCTGATCCTAACAGCTGCCCCTAAGCCAGTCTGATCCTGACAGCTGTCCAAGCCAGCTTGACCCTGACAGCTGCCCCCCTAGCTAGCTTGAATCTGACAGCTGCCCCCCCCCTAGCCAGCTTGAGCCAGATCCTGAGCCAGCCGGCCACATCTGGCCTCCGGCTGTAAAGCCAGCCCGGATCTGTTGACTTAATGTGTGGCGCGTCCCAGGAGCACCGGGGGACCAAGCCATTAATCTCCATGTCATCAAAGGTAAGAGAGATGCCCCCAACATAGGGGAGGTGAAAGGGAGGGCGATGGGGAGGGAAATGGGAACGGAAGGAAGGGGGGGAGGGGAGGAGGGAAGGGTAGGAGACGAGAAGGTAAGGGAGCAGGGAAAGTGGAAGAGATAGGAGGGGAAGAGTGAAGGGTGGAGACGGGAAGGAAAGAGGGAGAAAGAAATGAAAGGGAAGAGTGGGAGGGAGGGAGGGAGGGAGAGAGAGAGAGAGAGAGAGAGAGAGAGAGAGAGAGAGAGAGAGAGAGAGAGAGAGAGAGAGAGAGAGAGAGAGAGAGAGAAGGGAAGGGGAGAGAGCAGGTGACTCATCTATAGTGAGGGAGAGAGCAGGGAGACTCATCTGTAGTGAGGGAAAGAGCAGGGGGACTCATCTATAGTGAGGGAGAGAGCAGGGGGACTCATCTATAGTGAGGGAGAGAGAGCAGGGGGACTCATCTATAGTGAGGGAGAGAGCAGGGGGACTCATCTATAGTGAGGGAGAGAGCAGGGGGACTCATCTATAGTGAGGGAGAGAGCAGGGGGACTCATCTATAGTGAGGGAGAGAGCAGGGGGACTCATCTATAGTGAGGGGGAGAGAGCAGGGGGACTCATCTATAGTGAGGGAGAGAGCAGGGGGACTCATCTATAGTGAGGGAGAGAGCAGGGGGACTCATCTATAGTGAGGGAGAGAGCAGGGGGACTCATCTATAGTGAGGGAGAGAGCAGGGGGACTCATCTATAGTGAGGGAGAGAGCAGGGGGACTCATCTATAGTGAGGGAGAGAGCAGGGGGACTCATCTATAGTGAGGGAGAGAGCAGGGGGACTCATCTATAGTGAGGGAGAGGGTCAGGAGGGACTCATCTATTGTAACGTCTTAAGGAATTACTCACTCTGCCTGAGGATGGGGGGCGTTGATTACTCATGCTGTCTGGGGAAATTACTCACCCTGTAGGAGTCTGGGGGGATTACTCATACTGTCTAGGGGGTGTAATTTCTCACTCAGCCTGGGGGGGGGGGAGTTAGGGAGTAATTATCTGGGGATAATTACTCATGATGCTAGGGAGGAATTACTCATTCTGTCTGGGGAAATTACTCACGCTCACTCGGGCAAATTACTCACGCTATCTGCAGGATTTCAACACCATGTCAGTTCAGCTTCAACACTGATTTCTCATCGATTAACGCTGAGGGATTTTGTGTATATCTACTGAACGTTATTTGATGGTAGATATCTACTGAACGTTGTGTGATCGTCTGTATATATATCTACTGAACGTTGTGTGATCGTCTGTATATATATCTACTGAACGCGGTTTTTTATGAGCTGATGTCGTAGATATCAACGACCACTTCCTTGTGTGCTGGTGCGTCGGCGCCATTAAGTCTGACCTATTGTTAGGTTAGGGTAGGTTATGTTAGGCTGAATAGGATTTGACTGCATCATTGGCCTGAGCACTGTTCACTT